CTGTTTATGTAATTTGTGTACTTTAGTGAAGGATGTCGTATGTCTCATCTTTAACAAGGCATTTGACAAAGTCTAGAACCAGCATAAACCAGTGTTGTTGGGTCAGTGTCAAAGTAGAAGGATTAGTGGCATTCCTTGTTCTAATTGTCATTTTAATCAGTGAATTGGAGAGTAACAAAGGTGGTAATAACTAATACCTTCATAACAGTAAATGCAGGGTAATATGCAAATTGACCCTAATGGCAGAACAAATACTCTACCAGTCACTATGAGGCGCACTGAGCACCTCTTGGTCCCCTTCCTCAGCTGGCAGGCTCTGATCGCCCAATGGCAAACGGGGAACTGGGGGTGGGTGTCCGGGAACGCGGTGCCACCAGACTGAGGTCCCCAGCCCATCAGTCGCCCCACACACAGAGGGCAACCCGCAGCGGGGGCAGGGCCACCGGGTGGGAGGAAATGGCCAACCTCTCGGTTCCTCCCCCTGTCTGGCAGGCTCCAATCACCTGATGGCAAACGGGAACTGGGGGTGGGTGGCAGCGAAGGCCGGCTGCGGACAGCCGGGGAAGATGGCCCTGATCGCAGGCCAGGCCTAGGGACCGTACCCATGCACGAATTTCATGCACTGAGCCTCTAGTAGTTCTATATACATCATATATTACTCATAACCAACCCTATGAAGTGAGTACTGTTTTTTATTCTCATTTTAAGGAAGCAGAGACAGATGAAGTGACTTCTCCAAGGTCCCAATTAACACAAACGAGGAGCACATATCAGTTTTGTTAGAGAGCCTAACAATTAAGAGAACAGTGGTAGAATTCACAAAGAGCTCCTAAAGTAAAAGGAAATGTGTGTTTATAAGCCATTAAATGATTCATGGTGGCTTATAAATGTAGGAACAAAATAAAATCATTTAAAAGTAAGGATACATTTTTATGTATTATAGAAGTGTACACTTGAAACCTATATGATCTTATTAACCAATGTTGCCCCAATAAATTTAATAAAAAATAAATAAAAGTAAGGAGAAAAGATGAGAATGGGAAATAAGGATAATAAATTACATAAAATGAAGGCTGGATAAGTACACAAAATGCACATCAGGTATTTGATGCAGGCAGCCCACAAATTTGATTTTCAGATTACCGAGCAGCCAACTTGAGAGAAATATAATCACTAAGCCCATACAAGTTAAACAAAGATTGTTTGAACAAAAACGGAAGTGACAAATGATAATCTATCATGTATTCTCTTGGAGAAGAGACTATATGTTGAATAATACCTTTGTAATAAAAGTGATTGATTTTATACTATTCCTTATAACTTCCCTCAAGCCCATCTCAGTAGAAGTAATTCTAAGAGGTGGTGCTATCAGTATTTCTGGATCTAGATTCAAGACGCTGATAATTTGGCTTAATTTAGAAAAAGTGATTAGAAAAGTAGAAGTTCTATGTGTCTGAACAATTCTCCATAACTGAGCTTTTTTTGAAAGGTAGTAAGCAATTGTGTGTTGGAGATTATTCCAATAATAAGAATAAATCTATTCTTTATTTTCCATTTATTGCAGAGATTCAGCATTCATGAAATGTTTGAGTACTAGTAGAAATGGAGGCCTTGGGAAATCAAATGGATATCTGGTCATCAGCCTTGTCCCCTGTAGCTTTGTAGCCTAATGGAGGAATTGGTCAATTAAAACAAATAGTTTTAATAGATGAAATAAGTGCTTGGATGGGGCAAGCTGAGGGTTCCATTAAGCTATGCCCTAGATTTTAGGGTCGTGGGAAGACTTAGCTGAGGAAGTTGCATCTCATATGAGAACTAAAGGATGAATAGCACTGAGGCAGGGTTCTGGTCACCAAACTTGTGAACCTACCGTATTTGCCGGGGTATTAGACGATTTTTTGGCCCTGAAAAATATGCCTCCAAGTGGGGGGTCGTCTTATACGCCAGGTACACTTCAGATAGACTGCCCATAGTGCTTGCCCCGTGCCATAGTGGCCTCCCGATGCCCGCCCACTTCATTCCACATACCGTTCAGGCATCAGCA